GAGAGAGAGAGAGATTTTGTGCACGGCCCATTATAAGAAAAAAATTAAAGAAATAATGGAGACATTTTAAATTGCTGTAAACAACAGAAGCAGCTAAAAGATGGCAAAAGCATGCAAAAAAACAAGAAGCAGACAGGTAAGAGGAATCTGGAAGCAATGAAAAGAGAAAACATTCACTAAAAAGCTGCATTTGTTTGTGGGGGTGTACATGCTTGTTCTTCTGTTAATGTAGGAAACTAATAAAGAGACATTTGATAAGGAAAATCATACACAAATGGAAGAAAGCGAAAAAAAACAAAAAAAAAAAAAAAAGGAAAAGTGATAAAGTGGCCTTTAATAGAAGGGTGCAGTTTGTATAGAGCTGAGGCTCTAAACAATCAAATTAGAGCCCACCTTCAAATAGTGTAGAGAAATGTAATTTCAATAATGGAATGTTTTGTGATAGCCTTAAATTATAGTTTATGAAAACGTGAAAATTTTGAAAATTGACCGTCTAAAAATGCGGTACAAGATGCACTATTTCTACAACTTGAAATCCATTTTTTTCTCATCTCCAAAGATCTTGGTGTCAAGATGATCAATTTGATGATATTTGGGCATGAAAACAACCTCTTCTTGTGAAAGTTTTGAGGTAGCCTCTAATTTGATTGTTTAGAGCCTAGGCTCTATATAAACTTTACTGTTAATGGAATAGGCAGAAAGATAAAGGAACCAGTCTATTAAGAAAATAGAAATGATTTTATGTGATAAAGAGAGTTTTTAGTAGTAGGAAAATTGGGTGATTTTAGGAGCAGCAATAAAGGAAGTAAAAATGAAAGAAAGAGATGGAAAAAAGTAGACCGAGCTTAGCCTTAACATCTATCATTTTCCTTAAAAACAAAAGAGAGACCAAGAAAAGCAAGGAAAAGAAATGTGTCTTTTACTTTTTCTTTTTTGGTTGTCAGAGAGAAAAATAATGTCGATAAAAAATTACGGAAAAAAATAAAAAAAATTATTCATCTGAAATTGTTTGCTCATTTCTCGCATTCTTCTATTTCTTGCACATTTGCTTCTTTTTGTTGCTGTTTTCCTTTCTGTTAACATTCTTGTACATTTGTTGGTTTGTTTTGTTTTTTACATTCTCTTTATCCCCCTGGTTTATAGTTTCTCATTGCCCTTTCCTGTTTCTTCCAAGTATGCTTTATTTTTGTAAATTTTTCTTCGTTCGGTTCGTTGTTTTTTTTTTCTTTTGACAAAGGTGTGTTTTTTGACAAAACTCTTGCTGTGTCATGGTAATCCAAGTCATTAACCTGCCGCATTATGCTACCAACTGGGAGTCAATGTGACCTTGTTGATTCAAATTTTCTATTTTGTTCTAATGCATCAAACTCTTTGTTCATTGTATTGTTCCTAAAGTATCTTGATTGTAGGACGTGGGTTCGCTAATGGAGGCAAGGTTTGTCTATGTTCGACTGTTGTGTAGTTGTGAAAAGAGAAAAACATTATTAACTTGGGAAACCAGAAATGAGAATGTGATACATGCGAACTTGAATGTATAATTCCATATTGAGGGTTGTAACTGCTTTAAAGGGCTTCAATGACGAACAATTCATCACAACTCTAGTTTTGCGAGTAAACGTATACGAGGAAGTGTTTTGTCAACTTGCTGCTTCAATAGTCATCTACAAAAAATGGTCTTCTTGTCTTCTTTTTTGAGGCTTGGAAAGAGATTTCGTCTCCAGTCAAGGGACTTTTCATATAATGTCAAATAGCTCTTTTAGATTTTCTAGTGATAATTTGTGATCTTCTAGTGTGATGCTTTTGTGCTAAGAAAATTGTTATTTTTTTATGCAGGTATGTGGCGTCAGAATTGGCAACAGACATTACCATATTCGTTGAGGAAGTCAAGTTCTATCTGCATAAGGTAAGTTATCCATCAATTCGAGTTATCAAAAAAGAAGAAAAGAAATTTCTCTACCAATTGATACTTCCCATAGTGGAATATGAACTACAGAAAGCTTTCCAATCCTCCCTCGATTTACCATATTGACATGTGATGAAACTTTTCCTCTCTTAAAACCCTTAGCCCTTTCTGTCATCCATGCAGTTCCCCCTTCTATCCAAGAGTGGGCTCCTGCAAAAGCTGGTCTCAAAAGCCAACAAAGAAAACATTGATGAAGTTCGCCTATTCGATTTCCCTGGTGGCCCAAAAGCCTTTGAAATATGTGCCAAATTCTGTTATGGCATGATAGTAACCCTAAATGCCTACAATGTTGTGGCTGCTAGATGTGCTGCTGATCACCTTGAAATGACTGAAACCATCGAGCGAGGAAACCTAAATTATAAGATCGAAGTCTTCTTAAGCTCGAGCATTTTTCGAAGCTGGAAAGACTCCATACTAGTCTTGCAAACAACGAAGTCTCTCCTGCCTTGGTCTGAGGATTTGAAAATAATTGGAAGGTGTATAGACTCAATTGCATCGAAAACCTCAGTTGACCCATCAAAGGTTGATTGGTCATACACCTGTAAATGGAGGAATTCAGAAAATCCGGTTGAAAATGTTGCTGGTTTTCGGCAAGGTGTCAAATCTGCTCCTAAAGATTGGTGGGTCGAGGACATATGTGAATTGGATGTTGAGCTATATAAGAGAGTAATGGTGGCTGTGAAATCAAAGGGGAGAATGTCAGGTGACCTTATTGGAGAAGCATTGAGGGCTTATGTTCTTAGATGGATGCCTGATGCTGTAAAGCTCGCCCCCCCGAATTCTAATGATTTTGAAGGATTTTCAAGCAAAAATAGGGCTTTGATAGAGACCATTGTTTGGTTATTACCCACTGATAAGATGAAGGGTTGTTCTTGTAGTTTCTTGCTCAAGTTATTGAAAGTTGCAATCATGGTTGAAACCAGTGAGGACTCGAGGCAGGAGCTCGTGAAGAGGATTGGTCTGAGATTGAATGAGGCATCAGTGAATGACTTGCTCATCCCCTGGGTTGGGTCAGAAGGCAAGATCGTGTATGATGTAGATCTTGTGCAGAGCCTTGTGGATCGGTTTAGTGTGAGAGAACAGGGTTCACAGGGTAGTGACTCTAGTGAGACAAAGAAGAGTGGGCTGATTGTGGATCGAGGCCATGGGTCATGGATAGAAGTGGGAAAGGTGATTGATGGGTATCTGGCAGAAATAGCTCGGGACCCTAATCTTCCTCTTTTTAAGTTTGTCAATCTCTCAACGGCTGTACCAGCTGATGCAAGGCCAGTTCATGATGGGTTATACAGGGCTATTGACATTTATCTGAAGGTAAGCTCTTTAGCGCTTTACTCAATTTTTGTTCTCCATTTGTTTGAACTGAAGCCTTATATATTGGGAGAGTATACTACTAGGGCTTTTTTGAATTTTTGTTCTCCATTTGTTTACTGAAGCCTTATATATTGGGAGAGTATACTACTAGGGCTTGTTTGATGTACTTGTTGTCACTGATAATTCACTATTTCAATGGAGTTAATCTTGATAATGAATTATCTGTTGTTTGACAATATCCATCATAAAGTCATATGAGATAAACTCAGAGGCAGTTTTATATAGAAAGTTTATCTTTTTGAAAAGTAGTTTTTACTTTAATTCATTGTGATTCTTGGAAATCCAATTTTTTGGCCAGAGCAGCTGGTAATCACTTAAAATGTTAAACAATTAAATCATGTTATACAGTAAACAAAATATGTACTAAATAATTAACAAGATAATATTGTCCTGAGTATTTTAGTTTTAGATAAGTTAGTGTATTTCAGATAAAATTAATTGTCTTTCAAACAGGCCCGTAATATATGGGTTATGGAAAACCATGGTTCATTGGAGTCATACCTTAAATTAAGGTTGGTGATGGAGAGAGAATGGAACCTTTCAAAAAGAGGGATGACCTCGATGTTAATTCCCACTCCTCACCATTACTTAATGGTGGCACTTGGTATTCACATGGTCCAATGAGGTAGTGGTTAGAGCTAGGAGCAATGTGTTTTCTGTCTTCAAAAAACGTTCTGAGGTTATTTACTATTAGTGGAGTAAACAATATGATAAGGAATGTTTTTAGTGGAGTAGTGGTAACTTACTGCAATTTGTGGGTAGTCATCAATCATCATCTTGGTGGGCACTCAAACAATTTTAGGTTTATGGATTATGATTAAGCTAGAAAAGGATGTTTCTGCCCTGTTATGCCACACCCAGTTTCTTTATATTTTATTTATAACTAATTATGCTGTTGGATTTGTAATCAGCATATTATGACATTTGTAACTCAGAGTTGTCAACTTGATCGCCTCTCTCTCTCTCTCTCTCTCTCTCTCTCTCTAC